GAGAGAGAGAGAGAGAGAGAGAGAGAGAGAGAGAGAGAGAGAGAGAAATGGGGCATGCGGAAAGGGGGAGGGTTAGATAGAAGTCAGCGGAGGGGGGAACGATATATTTTTTCGTTTTCTCTTTTCTCCATTTTCTGTCCGTGTGTGTGTGTGTGTGTGTGTGTGTGTGTGTGTGTGATATTGTTACCAAACCCCCACGTCAGTCGACGTGGTGAGCTGCGCAGAAAAGGCACGTCAAGAAACATACCAGAAAAATAAATCGTCCATTTCATGTGGCATGACCAAAACAAGCAAATAAAGAAAAGTTGAATGCCATACTATCATGGGGAGAGGCAGGGAGCAGCAAACAGGAGGTAATGCACACCGAGGAGACGTACAAGGCACATAGATGACAATCAACAACAAAACACATAGGCTGGAGGGCACGGGGGAGGCGGGCGGGCACAAAAACATGATAAGACGAAGCAAAGACAGCGAGTTAAGAAACAAGTAGTACCCACGGAAGACATAGACATAGGGCTTGAGGGCAAAGGCAAGGCGAGTGGACAGACACACAGTGGGAACAGCACACTGGCAAGGCAGGGACGCACTATGATGAACAAGCAGCGGACGAAGGAGGGCACGGGGCGAACAGCACACTGGCAAGGCAGGGAGGCACTATGATGAAAATCAACCGGACGCTGGAGGGCACGGGGGAGGCGGGGGAAGTAAACAAGCAGCACGTAAGAGGGCGAACAACACAAGGCAAGGGAAGGCATGGTGGAGGCAGGCGGGGAGACAACCAGCCCAAAGCAGCAGGGAAACCACAACGAGCCAAACAGCAGCAAGGTATAAGTAGCAACCAAAAAAAAACTAAGTATGACAAAAAGACAGACCGAAAAAAATAAAGATGAAAGATTGTTTCGTCGGAGTTGCACCGACTCATCAGGAGGCTGAACCCTCGACAATCTGCGGAATCCCCGTATTTGATGGTTTGGGTCATGAACCCTTTGACCCTTGTTGAAGGCAGACTGTCCCCAAGAGGAACATAGCAGCGGGCAGCAACCCTGTGAAGCACCAGGCAACACAGTAGAGGCAACACGGTTGCCCAACACCAAAAACGACTGCAAGGAACGACATGGCACGCAGCGCGGCAGCCTTGTAGTGAAGCACAAGGCAACACAAGCAAGGCAACAACACTGCAGGGGACGATAGGGCGAGTAACCCAG